TGATTTTAACACACAACTTATTTTCCTGCAGTTCAAATCAATAAGAATAAGACCATTGCTTGTATAAGGAAAAACAAATGCACCTGGAAATGGAGGCAGATATCTGCCCTCTATTGGGCGAGGTGGATGTCTGTCCTCCAATTTTCATACTCTTCTCATCTCCTCTTGTTTGTGTGGTCACGTTAAACACATCAATATTTTATATTAATTTTTTTTATAAAAATAATAAAACAAAAAATAATAAGAATATAAAATATTGACGTGACTTAACCGTGACCATACAAAACAGGAGGGGATGAAAAGAGTATGAAAATGGGAGGGCAAACAATCTTACCTATTTGGATGCCCTTCCATCCCCTCTTATTTTGTGTGGTCACGGTTAACCACTTTAACATTTTATATTAACTTTTTTTTTATAAAGATAATAAAACAAAAAGTAATACAAATATAAAATATTGACGTGACTTAACTGTGATTGCATAAATAAGAAGGGATGGAAAGAACATCCAAACAGGAGAGCAGACAATCTTGCTTCCTGAAAATTGTTGTTAAAGAAGATATGCCATATGACGTCACTAAAGGCAGCAGGGTCTTATCTTTTTGGTGAATAGACAGGCGGGTCTCTGATTCAGATTAAGAGAACTGATCGTTTTGAATTGAATAGCAAAACTAATACACATATATGCGACCTTCAAGGTCCAGATCCAGATCTTTGAGAGAAACATGGTTGTCCAAGCCGAGACAATTTTTCAACATAACACGTTACATCTGGCATAGTTTGTACGAATATAAGACGATGTGGTTTAAAATTAGGGATGGGCAAAATACATATAAGTTTGGATAACCTTGATTACCCGTTTATTTAAAATTTACGGTCATATAATTATGGTAACCGTTAGACGAACAAACGGTTATGAGTGTAACTGTTTATCTGTGAATTTAAATTGGCCTTTATGGCCGTTATAACGGTATCCATCGATTATGGGTATTACCAGCGGTTATAACAATATCCATTTACCCATTTAATTTAATATATGTAAATTTAAAAAAAAATTGAAACCCTCGTGTTGAAGATTCCTCATTCGATGATGTACTGATGAATATGGTAAAAACTAATCTTTATTTTGTTTTTGACTTTGGAGTTATTGGTGATACAATTCAATTTATGCATATGAGTGTGTGAAAAATCATGAATGTAAACCTTTTGTTTTATGCATATTGATGAATGGTGATACTAAATCAATGATTTGGTACTCTACTTTTTGTTTCTTTGTTTTTTTTTTTTTTCCTTTTGATAACTGAGTATATAATGTAAACCTTATGTGATCATTGGTTTCGTTGTTCCTAAATGGGATACTAATTCAATTTATTCATTTCTTTTGTAGGTCTCTTTTGGTGACAAAGAGTCAAGACTTTATGATTGAACGTGCTAAAGCATTAGTGTTCGAAAATTTCAATATACATTTCGCAAATGTAATTTTTTTTTTTGTAATTATAAAAAAATTGAAGTGTTAAATAAGATTTTTGAAGTGCTAATAACAATTCCCCTTTCAGAATTTCGTTCCATTGGTGGCAATTTCAGCAATAGGAGTATGCTTTTATTTGTTATGTTTCTTAAATAGACGTAAATACTATGTTATGTTTTTATTTTTGTTTGTTGATAAGTGCATTGTTACAGCAACATCATTGCTAGATAATTCACATGTTAGTCTGTACGATAAATAAGGTTTTAAAACTCGTTAAATGCTAGCCGAGCGGTGGACTAGGGTCTAGAAGGAGTAAGCAGATTTAAATAAATTTATTATATATCATATAAATAAGTGTTTATTTGTACTTACAAACATACATAATTGTATTATGATATATAAATTACAAAATAAAATAACATATTGATTAAAGTATCATATTGAAAATATAGGAATAAGCATATAATGAATGTTTATCTAAATATTCAACAAGTCTCTTTCAATTAATTGAACAAAAATAAAATTGAAAATAAAAGTTATCGATTTCTATTTAAGTGAGAGTCGTCACACAGACGGGTGTCTAGACGGACTAAGCGGGCATCTAGGAGGAAATTTTTAGAACTGTGACAATAAACCTATCATGTGAAAGTCTATATATCTATCCTGTGTTTTAAATTTTTATTAGGTCAAGCGTCTTCAGGTCGGCTCGATGAACTTTTCGAACGATATTTTTCATAAGGCATGGGCTTAAAATATATGCACATATTATAACGTGAGTAAATTTAAAACTAAATTACACAACAAAATACACACATTTAAACACGAATACGAATTTAGTACAAGTGGACAAGTTTAAATCTTAACGGGATGGAGACTTTGGAGCCGTTCGGGGAGCAGAGAAACTCTTAATAATTGCAACAGTGGAGTTCTACTTGACTATCAATTTTTATTTTGATTTTTACTATTATAGTAATAAATTAAAAGAAAATGATTTATACCAAACGTGACTTAGCAACCACAAAACTAATGCTTACTTAAATCTTTAGAATCTGTGGTGACATTTGATACTTGTTGGACGACCATCTTGATAAAATACTAGTAAGTCTGCGAAATCTAATTCTAATTCAACTTTTCTTCAAACCGATATCTTCTTTTGAAGAAGACAAGTTTTGCAAACATTAGCGTAGTCACGTTGCGTAGAATTTTTATTGTATTCTCCTTTGTGCACGTGATTTTAACACCTAACTTATTTTCCTGCAGTTCAAATCAGTATAAGACCATTGCTTGTATAAGGAAAACAAATGCACCTGGAAATTGGAGGCAGATTATCTGCCCTCCTATTTGGGCGAGGTGGATTGTCTGTCCTCCAATTTTCATACTCTTCTCATCTCCTCTTGTTTGTGTGGTCACGGTTAAACCACATCAATATTTTATATTAATTTTTTTTATAAAAATAATAAAACAAAAAATAATAAGAATATAAAATATTGACGTGACTTAACCGTGACCATACAAAACAGGAGGGGATGAAAAGAGTATGAAAATGGGAGGGCAAACAATCGACTTACCTATTTGGATGCCCTTTCCATCCCCTCTTATTTTGTGTGGTCACGGTTAAACCACTTTAACATTTTATATTAACTTTTTTTTTATAAAGATAATAAAACAAAAAGTAATACAAATATAAAATATTGACGTGACTTAACTGTGATTGCATAAATAAGAAGGGATGGAAAGAACATCCAAACAGGAGAGCAGACAATCTGCCTTCCTGAAAATTGTTGTTACAAGAAGCATATGCCATATGACGTCACTAACATTAGGCAGCAGGGTCTTATCTTTTTGGTGAATAGACAGCAGGGTCTCTGATTCAGAGATTAAAGAGAACTGATCGTTTTGAATTGAATAGCAAAACTAATTACCACATATATGCTGACCTTCCAAGGTCCAGAATCCAGATCTTTGAGAGAAACATGGTTGTCCAAGCCGAGACAATTTTTCAACATAACACGTTACATCTGGCATAGTTTGTACGAATATAAGACGATGTGCGTAATTAAAATTAGGGATGGGCAAAATACATATAAGTTTGGATAACCTTGATTACCCGTTTATTTAAAATTTACGGTTATAATTATGGGTAACCGTTTAGACGAACAAACGGTTATGAGTGTAACTGTTTATCTGTGAAATTTAAATTGGCCGTTATGGGTATTATCCGCCGTTATAACGGGTATCCATCGATTATGGGTATTACCAGCGGTTATAACAGATATCCATTTACCCATTTAATTTAATATATGTAAAATTTAAAAAAAAATTGAAAACCCTCGTGTTGAAGATTCCTCATTCGATGATGATACTGATGTAAATATGGTAAAAACTAATCTTTATTTTTGTTTTTGACTTTGGAGTTATTGGTGATACTAATTCAATTTATGCATATGAGTGTGTGAAAAATCATGGAATGTAAACCTTTTGTTTATGCATATTGATGAATGGTGATACTAAATCAATTGATTTGGTACTCTACTTTTGTTTTCTTTGTTTTTTTTTTTTTCCTTTTGATAACTGAGTATATAATGTAAACCTTATGTGATCATTGGTTTCGTTGTTCCTAAATGGGATACTAATTCAATTTATTCATTTCTTTTGTAGGTCTCTTTTGGTGACAAAGAGTCAAGACTTTATGATTGAACGTGCTAAAGCATTAGTGTTCGAAAGTGTTTAGTTTCAGAATATTTTGGAGCTTTGAATCATCTAGTATTCAAGATAATTACTACTTTTTTATTTTTAGAAGCTTTACTTTCTAATCATATGGATTATAATTAAAGACTTGTTTGGGTCTAGCAGAAAAATATTGTGATGCTAAAATGTACCTAAAACGGTGTTTAATTATTAGAAAATGAAAATTACGACAAATTTTTCTTTTGTAATTTTCAAGTTGTTAAAAAAAAACATGTAGGCGGGTGAAAAAAGAAGTAAATGGATTAAAAAACAGATAAAAGGGTAAATGATTATGATTAAATGAGTAAATGGTTATGATTAAATAGGTAAACAGTTATGAGTATGGTTTACCGTTTATAAACGGTTATGGGTATGGATATAACCGTTTATGCAATTACACAACAGGTAAACGGTTATGCGGGTATGAATATAAACAATTATAGTTAAATAACTACGGTTACATGTTCGTAATAACCGTTGTCCATCCCTAATTAAAACACGATTAACACTCAACTGAAACTATAGATCGTACCCAGTGCACAAGGCTCCCGCTTTACGCAGGGTCTGGAAGAGGTGAATGTCGGCTAGCCTTACCCCATTTATGGAGAGGCTGCTTCCAATGAACTCGTGAATCGGGATGAATGTGATACGGATATATATAAATAAACCAGAACACGACTCATTGCCACCCGATGCGAACATAACTAGAGCTTGGGCTGGTTGTGAAAATAATGAAGGAAAATATTTGGGATGGTTACCGGCCCAAATACCCATGAAAGGATTGAAGCAGTAAGGCAGCAACACAGATAAGAGAACAAGTCCTGAAATTTTGCTTTATTTCGTACAAGCTAAGCAACAACGGAAGAGCCTCTAAGCAACAATAAACCTCACCATTTTTTGCTTTGTTTACGTGGAGAAGGATGAGGATATCCTTAACTCATCTCCTCGCCATCAACAACTGCGATAATAACTCTAAAGACATCAACTATTTCCGCCCGAATGGCTGCAGAACAAGTAAATTAGAGGACCAAAACTAGCTAGCTCAAAATAAAGGGCACATATCGTCTAGCAAATCAAGCCTTGATCCCCATTTTCCAAGACATGGCAAAGTTCTTCCCAACAGGAAGGGACAGACCGTTAACCTCCACCATTACGCTCTTGGTCTGCTCTCCGTCTTCTATCTCATTGAGATACGTCTGTTCTGAAGCAATCAACTCTACGTTTGAAACGCTTGTCGCTTGGTTTCCATCAACCTCGAGAGAAGATGTTGCTCCGCTTCCATCCAGTCCTAACACACTCACCTTCCCAACAATCCAGCCTTTACTTAAAGCAAACTTACCCTCCTGAACTTCTGACCACACTTTCACATTTCCTTCGCTTACAGTTGCATAGAAATCAACATATGTGGAGTAACCGTTTCCAAGATTCATCTCGGGAAGCTCATCGTTGTCAAGGAACAGGTTCCCCTTGGCTGTTGCATTGCTTGCCCCAGCTGGGAACGCAACAACGAGGCTAAAAGGGGTTGTTCTTGCTGCTTTAGAGATCAGTCCACCCTGCTGCATTGGTAGAATGGTATTCTGATACAGATGCACATTAACAACATGCAAAGGCGCATCAAGCGTAACATACTTCCCTTTTGTTGAGCTAATGGCCTGCGTCATATCAAATAAACTGTACCAGCTTCCCGGGGGAAATAATGCTTTAACGTTTGACTTTCCCTGTTCAAGCACTGGTGAAATCATAACGCTGCTCCCCAACAAGAATTGAGTACTCAATCCATACGTTTCAGTATATGTTGGGAACGAGAAGAAAAGTGGCCTGGCAATTGGGGCACCGCTGATGTGAGCTTCGTAGCTTAATGTGTACAGATAAGGGAGGAGTTTATACCTCATACCTAGTGCATTTCGAGCAGACTCAGCTACAGACTCCCATTGATAAAGCTCTTGTCTCGGGGAATAGAAGTTCGCATGATCCCTTGAAAAGGGATAAAAAGCGCCTACTTCAATCCAACGGTTGCAAAGCTCTTCAGTAGGTGCTGGATAGAACCCACATATGTCTGCACCAACCATCGGCACTCCAAATATTCCAAAATTGAGCACGGTAGTGATTGATATCTTCAAATCCTCCCAAGTCCCCTTGTTATCACCTGTCCAATGTGCAGCATACCTGCCTGAACCAACATATGTGGACCGGGTTAATATAAATGGCCTCTTGCCCTCAAGCCCTTGAAGAGCTTTGTGAGTTGCAATGGACTGGGAAAAGCCATAGAGACTGTGAGCATCATACTCCAAAACGCCATTGTAATGAGATGCACTAGTGGCTATGGTTTTGTATCCAATGGGTACCTGCAACCCTGAAGCATTGATCTTGTAAGGTGGATCATCCCATCTTGTCTTTGTAATGTTTTTGCAATCCAAGCAACATACCCAGCCAGGTCCTGTACCCGTCGGACACTGCTTGTTTGGAATTTTGCACTTCCCAGAACAGAAATTTGAAGCTTCGTTCATGTCAATCCATAAGCCATCAACAGGGACAAGTTCATGAAAGCGGCGGATCTCATCACCCCACCATGAAACAGTTTTGGGGTTGAGGAAGTCGGGGAAGTTTACAGCCCCAGGCCAAACTTGGGCCAAGTAGGGTTCACCCTCATATTTAATGAAAACATCATTCGCTAAACCTCTTTGGTATACACCGTAACTGGTATTAACACCAATTCCAGGATCGATAATGACAATGTACTTCATGCCTATCTTATGTATTTTGTCAAGGAATGCCAAGAGCTTTGGACGAGGGTAGTTTTTGGGGTTGAGGGTGAAGTCTTTGTGTCCGTCCATGTGATCATCGTCATTCCAAATGACATCTAGCGGGATTTCAGCCTTTTTGTAGTTCGCAACAACATCTTCAACCACTGATAAGTTGTGGTAACCCCATCTGCATTGGTGGAATCCTGTAAAAGCATGATGACAGACTGTTAGGAAAAATATTTCATCTGCTTTGGTGGAATCCTAAATTAGAAACTTAATGAACATAACATTGATATAAACCATATCTTCTGAAAATACAACATAATGGATAGACGCGTAAGTACACAGCTATTCATTCAGTTAGACCGCTATAACGAGACATTAGCAACGTCTAGTGGATCAAGTTAACATTCACTTTAAAATTCTCTCACTTACTTAAGTTGAACTTTTTTGTTGTTGTTCTATTTGTCATATTCACTCCAAATGCATCAATGCCAACTTACCATCACTCAATAAACATTTTTCCTTGAAACTGTAGAACTACATGAACGCCAAAAACAGTACTACATCGAAACAAGCATCCAAGTCACAAGTGAGATCTGAGGCAATGAAAGCATTACAAAAGGCACTGCTGTAATAGTATCAGTAACAATTGTTCTCCCACCAACCAGACAACAGCTAATGCAATGGCGGACAAGTTTAGAGTCCATACAAGCAAGTATGGTCACTAAAAAGTCACAAGTCATGGTAGCGTGGGTAAGACCTTCACCTTCTCATCTAAACAACCACAAGTAACTCAATAGTACAGTATCTCTTAAAACTTAAAATCGACCACAAGTAATGTTCCCCGAACAGAGGAACGATCCAAAAACCTCTAGAGTCTAAACCACAAGTTAGATCTGAGGCAATGTCAGGAAAATGCCTTGTGAGCTAAAACAGGTAAAAGGCACCACAATTACAAACTCGCATTCCCCACAAAACGACAATAGCTATAAATGTAAGACGGGAAACATTAACACGAGGCAGAATGCCTTACAACTAAACATGGTCTCACTCTCCTAAGACATGGCAGTGAGATATGCAGAAGTACATCACAGCTTGCAATATAGTTCGGAAACGGGAATTCAAACTCCACCTCTCACAGAGGAGATAATATTTGTAAGGACATGATATTTTTCCAGGATTAAGCAACGATATCGCAATCTGTGATGTGGGAAAAGTGTAAAGGCTTGGAAAAAATGGCAGAAAAAGCAGAAATCTTTGACGTGGAAAATTGTAAAGATCACATCTTTGACGTGGAAAATTGTTTCCGCGGCGATAGTTGTGTAAAGAAAGAAATGCACGAAAAGATGAAAACAAAAGAGGGACCCGACCAACCCACCAACCAGCAATTTTCCCACATACTATAATAATGCTCAACTAGTCATAGTTTAGTTCCTTAAAAATCTAACTCATTCCAAATTGTGATATTGTTTACATTAGTGTATTGGTCTCCCACAAGACAGAACAAAGTTTGTGGAAGAAACAACATCCACATTCTTTTTTCTTGGGCGAACTAACCAAACCATATTATATGCTAAACCGACAATAAAAATCATTCACAAAATCACAACAAAATAGAACAAAAACATTCACAGAAGATTTGGGAGTTGGGACGCTAACAAAAACATTTCTTCTCTAAACAAATACACATCCGCTAATCTGGGTTGGGTCAAGTTAACTAAAAAATATAGGATATCGGTTAACTAGCACATTGTGAGGATTAGACGATTAGCCAACTCTTTGTGCAGATAATATCGTTTGATAAAAAATAAAAATAAATGTAAATCGCTTATATAAAAACTAAAAAATATACACATCCAAAGCTTTTAATGTAAAGCAAGAAGTAGGAATAACTGAGTAAGTTAATGAAGGCAAAGCAGAGGGTAGGAAGCAGAACATACCAAGAGACCAGTAGGGCATCGGGGCCGGTCTGCCGATGAACGCCGTGTACTGGTCGACAACGCCCAACGGCGTCGGCCCAGCAAAGAAGTAAAAGTCGAAAACACCCCCAATGACCTTGTAGGTGAGAGAAGTCCCTCTGTAAAACACATCCATGCCATTGCTGTTGAGCAGCAGAACAGAGTGTGCGTAAGCCTCGCTGCCCACATTCCGGAGATCCATGTAAACCGGGTGGGACCCGTACAAATCAGTGTTGAGATTGATCGCCGAGACGTCGGTGGTGAAGAGGGTGTATGGATCGTTCGGGTAGAGCTTGATCCCGTGCGGCTGAGAGTTCTCTCCGAGGCCGTACAGGGAGGCGTCTTTCGGCAGTCGGGTGGATATCTCGAGGTACTGGTCCTTAAACACCAGTTCGCCATATGGGTCTTTCGATTCGGAGCTCGAATTGAAGAGGACCTGCCCGTCGGACTTCCTCTTGACTGCGAACCCAAATGGGTCGGAGATGTAGCTGAGAATGAGCTCAGAGCCGGAGTACTCTGAGACTTCGATGGGGTTCTTCGTCTTCCCTGACGGCGTGATGGTTTGTTTCAGAGACGGCGGCTGCTCCCTGGGGAGGAGGTTGTAGGGAACCTCCCACCTCTGCTTCTGAGCGTCGGTTATGTGGACCCTCAACCGGTCCTGTGTCTCGTGCCTGTAAAAATCACAAATTTAATCAAATGGGTAAAGTGGGTGAGCTGCATTTAGGCCTCTGATTGAGATTGAAAGAAGCACTTTTTTGAAAAGCGCTTTTAACAAAATTGCTTCTTTTAGAAAGATTCAAGTTCTTTCTGGAACTGCAGTTAGAAAGTCCTTCCTCCTGCTCGGAAAATGCTTCTTCACATACTATAACAAACGTAGTAAAAATTATTTTTAATCGTCGGCAAGTGCTTTTAGTATTTGCAGAAGCAATTTCAAGCATGACTTTAGAGTGTAACGTGTGTGATAGGGAACACGTACTTGACATAGAGCTGCAGGAGGGGGATATCGGGGCCGTAGGTTTTGGACTTCTGTTTGAGCTGGAGGAGACCCAGAAGGCCGCCGTCAGGGGTTTCTTCGATGGAGATGAGACGGTAGCCTTTGCCCTTGATGGTGGGGTTAACGGTGTCAGCTGAGCTCACACCAGATAAACAGAGGATTAACAGCACTAGAAGAAGAGAAGAGAGACATTGGGAGGAGGAGGAGGAGGAAGACATTGCTTATTAATTACTCTCCTGCCACTGAAGGAGGAGTGAGAGAGTACCAAGTGAAGAGTGAGAAACTGTTGGGACTCGTCGGGGTCTAATATAGAACAGGGGACGAAGATTCAAGACTCGAGAGAAACAGAGCGAGAGAGAGAGAGAGAGAGAGAGAGAGAGAGAGAGTGATTGGATACAGGTCAGGTGGATGAAGATGAGACCATCTTCACCATGTGATTGATCATGGTGTGGGCCCTACTTCCTATACCACCTTCAATCGTGCCGTTCGACCACTTCACTTGTTGTGGACCTGCATGAATTGAATCCTCCGATTATACGTCAATGTACAGTAGATGTTACGTTATTTAAGTGACTTAGGTCTGTTCGTTAAGGTTTCTACGGATTCTCTCCGATCTTAAAAAAATAGAGTTCAATGATTAAATGATTCGGATAGTTGAAATTTGATTCAACGATTATAATTATTATAATTTTTAAAGAGGTCCTCTATTTGTAACCGTTTGATCAAATTCCAACGGCCCGAATTATTTAATCATTGAGTTCCTTTTTTTAGATCCGAAGAGGATCTGTATTCTCAGCAAATCTCAAATAACAGTATTATCATCGAATTCAACAATGTGTATCATATACGAATGTACTCTAGAATTTTTTGGCCAAGCTAATAATGTGATCAATGTATGAGTGTGGAAATGGCCTTTTTGCAGTTGTTGGTTAATTTCTAATATTAGGAGGAAATAAAAAGACAAAAGAAGGCAACAACTTAATGAGATGTATAGAGCAAAGAGACTTATTAGAGTATGGGACTGTAAAAGTAGTAGATATAGTTTATTTTAGAGCTTCACGAAATCTTTGGGATTTTATAAAAGAAACCCTCTCAATGAAGGACTATATCTTTCAAACTCTATATGGGGCTATATATATTTATTTGTATGTAGTAAATTGATTAAGCGATGATTTTTTTTTTTGTTACCTTTTCTTAAGTTGATTTTTAGATGTGATATCTTAAAAAAAAAAAATTATGTACCCTTCAACCTAAAAAGTTAAAATTGTGACAAAATTAGATTTCATCACTTATGAATCGTTCATTGGATTAGATTCATTTATCTCAATCTCATCCGTTAAAAGAAACAAACCTCCACTTCGCCCTTTGAAATAATTTGATTTTCACGTATAATACAACAGTTTACCTAGCATCAATTGGTAAATTAGTATTACACAATTTTGAAAAAAAAAATTTATTTAAAAATTTCATCTATCAATGCCCATCAACGTTAAATCAATTTGAAATTTTAATTCTTATGGAATTCAAAACAATTATTAATTAACCAAATTGCAAGAAAAATAAGAAAGAAAAAAGAATTAAAAAATAATAAAATGAGAGTATAAGTGTATTCGCAAGTGGAGATAAAGTGATAGAATTTTGCTCACATAGGTTGCTACTTTTTTTGTAGGATCCATTGTTTTTTGGGACAAGATGTAGCCCGATTTTATGCTACCCAAAAAAGAAAGTTGTTAGCCCCAATGATGGATCTACCTCCATTTTCTAGCTCATTGGGAATGAAATTTCTCGTTAAGACTAGAAATGTGTAGCCTCACGAGGATAACGCTTCCATACGGGATGCTCTTAGTAGTTGCAGAGGGCAGAACTCATCAGAATGCTGTCACTTTGGGCTTTTGTTATAACAAAAACAGGGCAATCGTGATCGTTGATGATGAAACAAGGTTGGGGAAGAGAGATGAGTATCTTAAAAGGGGTGCGGCGAAACTTAGGGGAAGCAAGTGACGGAGTCGAAACCGTGATTCGCGCTGTTTCCTTCCATATCTTTTCTCCCACGTGTACCTCTGTGAACTTATATGTAGGGTTATCAAAATCTCCGCAATAATGCGTTTTATTTGCAGAGGAATTGTCTGCCTCTTGTTTGGGTGCGCTTCTCATTCCCTTCTATTTTATACGGTCATGGTTAAACTATACTGATATTTTATATTAATTTTTTTATAAAAATAATAAAATAAAAAATAATAAGAATATGAAATGTTGACGTTGCATAAATAGAAAGAGATGGAAATGACACCCAAACAGGAGGGCAAACAATCTTCTTTCTTTATTTGCTCCAGGGTAAACAATTTTAAAGATTTATTAATGGACTTATACAGTAAATAGCAAAGTAAGAGGTGATAAAATTTGAGTTTCATCAAGTTAAAAGTGAAACTCTTGAGTTCTCATGAAGTTTTTTTTTTTTTTTTTTGTTTTTTTTTTTTTATATAATTAAGCTTTTAAGTCAACAAATTGTAGCTCGGTAGATAAATATTGTAGAATAATATAATAAAAAATAAAGTACAATTTCGTATAAACTCTCATTTATGTCATTATCTACCACATGGATTCAATAAAGATCTCCTTGTAGTGGTGTTCTTGCAAGAAACCCCACCGACGGAAAAGTAAAACCAACCGATCATGTATAGCAATATTTGCTGTTCTTATACAGTGTGGTGGTAATTATTGCCTCGAATATCTCGATTCGTAAGCAGTGACTGCAAAATGATTTAATCGAAACAAGCAAATGTCCTGAAATGTACGCTTACAAGTAAAAGAAATCCAGCTCCTGATTGCTTGCTTAAGAATTACATACCAGTAATACAAGTCGTGAGATTCAGAAAGACTAAAAAAGACAAAAAAATATCTATAAATTAAGCAGAGAAACGTGACAGTGGTCCCTTGTGTATAAATTGATTCATATATATTCACACACATATGAATACGTACATGCTGCAGATGCAGATGATCATGCGAAAACATGTAAGATTTTGTCTGATTTCATAAGAAAGCCCCGTGACAGTGTCACTGAAAAATAGAAATCTGGACGTGTTTCCGATTTCTCTCCCTCCACGAATATGTGTTGCATAAAATGTTATCTTACTGACAAAACCAATTAATATTTTAATTATCTATGTATTTTGTTTTTTGACAGTATGCCTTTAAAGTGTGAGCCAAACTTACCAAAAGAAAACGAAAGGAAGCAGGTTTGAAACTTTGGATCACTCGCTGCAGGCTGCAGTTACTTGGAATCTTGCTTATGGGCACCACAGATATTGTTTCTACAGATCGAATAATGCCATGAGTTTAATTTGGTTTTATTATCGAATTGCGTCCTGTTTTCATTGGAATGGAAAACCCCTAACTAGCTAGGGTTTTTGAAATGTTGAATGTTCGTTTGGCCGACTAAGATCCTCAATGGCAGTAAACACTAACAACTGGGTTCGGGTGTCAAAAATATAGTGTTGATAAATAAAATTAAAATTAATATATATATATATATATATTGGGATTAATTTTTATTTTGTAAAAGGAAGAAGAGAAGGATTTTATATGTGCAGATGCATGGTGAATTTGGGTATCTCAGTTAATCTCAGTATGCGAGCCAACTGCAATGCACAAGGACAATTTGTCTAAACACTTTCCTTGGATGCTAAATCGTCTTATTAGAAATTAATTAGTAGTCAAAGTTATCCGGTAAACAAAAGGATAAGAAAGAATTAAGAATACTTGGCAGCACGAATCAAGCTTAAAATCCAACAATTATTACATATAAAATTATAAATTGTGGGGCATCGACGGTGGGCACGTGAAGACGAAAATCATCTTTGAATTGTCCATGCATGCATATGCATGGCCCCTCGTACACGGAAGGAAATACCTACATTATTTGTTTGTTTATACGATCATCATATTTTTATTTTGTTTGAACAAATGATATTATCTACACTAAAGAGAGGGGGTAGGCTTAGCCTCACAATGAGCTAGTAATAATGTGGCTCAAATTCGCCTTTAGCGAGAATCGAACCTAAGACCTCTCACTTACAAGTGAAGAGGAATACCACTAGACCGCAGTACTAAGTGGCGACCAACACATTTCTTACAATATTTGCTTTGTGTGTTACTAGCTATCCTTTTAACAATAGAAAATAACTTATATGGCAAGGGTTTATCATTACAGTGGCGTTCTGCGGATGAGATATTGGGTAATCACAACCCATTCGTCAATGCTAATACAATTTCTTGTGCCACTAAAGCACATTTAACAACAATTAACAAGTTCCATCTAGCTGCCTAATTAAAACACAATTTACAAAACACCAAATTACTGCAGGCCGTTAAACATAAAATCCTCTGTTAAATATTGATGGAATGGTTAAACACCAAAATCTTTGTTGAACAAACCCCCTTATGCACGCACCCGCAGCACTGCATGAGTAAAGAAACTGAACTTCCGTTTTACCTAATGTTGTTACTCATTTAAGCTATATGACCAATCGAGAAGGAGAACTGTTAAAAATCCGACCGTTGCTTTCAACCCTTTGGTAGATACCAAGAAAAGTACCTTGCAAGAGTTTGTGGCGTGGGTGGTTAATTGGTGAATGGACCATATGTGGTCAGAATTTGGGCCCAATATATCTTTGGAAGATCCAGCCTGATGAAGATGGGTGTGGGCCTGAAAAAAAATGTGGGGTATATCTTTGTAATCAAAACTTGGGGCCAATATATCTTTAGAACGTCCAGGCACATTCATAATTTATGGACTTGTTTGAAAGTTTTTTTTTAAATGATTGAAAACGTTTTTTATGAAAATGTTTTTAAAACCAATCCTTAGTAAAAATACAAGTGAATCCCGAAAATAAAAAAACACTTCAAGTGCTTCCTATAAGAAGCACAAGTTACTTCAAGTGCTTTCGGAACCCAAAAGCGTTTTCTTTAAAAGCGCTTTAAGTCATATCAAAAGTAATTCCAAACAAACCTTACATGAACCTTACATATGCCTGTAAATGTAATGAAGCAACACATCTTAACGTCATAAACAATCTTTTATCCTCGATTTTTCCCAAGATGCTTCTTTTTTTTCTTTTTTAAAGGAAATGATAGATGTTATATATTAGGAAAAGTCATTACAAAGTTCGATCATGGAAGAGATGCATCCTCAAAGAGGACATCCAGTAAAATCCTTGGAGGGGTTACATCCCAAATACATTCATGAACTACAGTAAGACCAAACCAAGCAAGGCTATGCACAGCTTGATTGGCGTGACGGCGAGTGTCGGTAAAGCAAGCTTCAGTGATTGAGGAGCGGAGGGCCTTGATGTCCTCAATAATCTGTCCAATAGGCGAAAGATTAATTGAAGGGTCCCTAAAAGCTTCTACAATCTGAAGTGAATCGGTTTCAGAGATAAAATTGTTAAATCCCCTAGAAATCGCCCAAGATGCTTGATGCGGATGGACTCACCAAAAGGCACCCTTTCATCCGCATGCACTTCGATTAATTGACTAATTGGTCCTCCAATTTGAACTCAATTGCACGTCAACAAGAGCTACGTACACTAATCCATCACTACAATGGTCCCATACCTATATTACCATCAACAACCTATACTTTCTATTAGGGCGGGCACGAAAGTGACCAAAAGTCATCATCTCAAATAAAATAACAGTAGAAAGGAAATTGTAACTCAAGCTGTTAAAAGCATTTAATTTTGCACTCGAGGTCCCATATGTACATTATAAACAACTTACACCTTCTTTAAAGGATTTGTAGCTCAAGTTGCTAAAATCATCTAGCCATGTATTCAATGACTCATAATTACATTACCACCAACATCATCCCCCGTTGACGACCAAATATGTAGTCCTCTCATTCAAATATCAACAAAAAAAACTTATAACTCAAGTTATTAAAAACATCTGACGACTCAAGGTCTCATGGGCTTGTAATTAAAGTTTCTTAACTGCATTTGTTTCAAGTCCAATAAGTGTGGATAGTGGATTTTAGTCTTCTTGTAATCTTCATTGGGCTTTGTACAGTTGGACATCGTCTTACCTCACGTCCTCCCGTTCGTTGACGTCACACTCCTCTCACAACCAAACTCCTCCAAAAAAATATTCGGAGCAACTGATACACGTGGATAGAGTAACCACCAAATGGTGACTTAGTGGTTACTTTAGGACCATTTACAGGCATATATTTCTCATGGCTTATCTTGAATTTGATTCATGTTGTTGATGAATCACACAATAATAACGAAAAAGAATGAAATGTCTGTATGAGTCTTCCGAGCAATAAACCTGATGGACTGCCCTTATTCGAATAAAAAAAACACAATTGGATAGAGTGTTTCCAACGTGTCACCAATAATGCCCAACATTTCTTCAGTTCATTACACCAAAGGAACCTTCCTACCATACCAAACGGCGTATATATGCCTCGTCTTTTCTAATTTCTTAAGCAACCAGGTGACGGCGATGTTTAACGGAAAAGAAACGGAGGCAGAGAAGAGAAAGCAGCCGGACAACGACGGCATCATCTCAGGGAGGCAAAAGCAAAAGAAGGCTAGGGATGATAAGGGAGACGTCACGGCCGTGAAGGAGGACGAGGTTGAGGAGTTCTTTGCTATCCTCGGACGGATACGCCGGGTGGTCAGGCACTTCAAGAATGCTGACGGTGGTGGCAGCCTTAAAGTAGCGGGCGGAGGATCCCGATTGAGGGCAATGCTCGAGCGTGATGAAGAAGCAAACGGCGTTCAACTGGGGACCAACATGCAAGATTGTGGTGAGGAGGAGAATTTGGACTTGGATTTGAATGCAGATCCGGATCCGGAATGTGATCCAAGTTAGATGGGTAACTTCATGGGCTTTGTGCAAATGTGGATAAAAAAAAAATAAAAAAATAAAAAAAGGGAAAATTAGAATGCCCTACATATTTTCTATAGTTGTTAGATTAAACATTCATCCCTTTTAAAGATTTGATTAAGGTGCTTCAATCAATTGCCACCTCAATAATTTTCTATTTATTTAATTTCCATGTCATTAATTTAAATGCATTTATATAGAGGCATAAGGTAGCTTAGCAACTAATTGCCTATAATATAGGAATTTAATTTCCTCAATCCCCTTCTGCGCATTAAATGACATTTTTTTTAATAAAATAAAAAAAAATTAATTAAGTAATTCCTCATTTCCTTATTATCAGTATTTTTAAAAAAATACTCTTTCTATTAAAATTGTATCAATAAAAAGTCTTCAATACATATTTTTTTTTCATGTATAGATATATAAAAAATATACTTAAAACTTATGGTACATTTGAGAACAAAAGTATCGACTTTTGGTACGTTTAGATTTCAAATGTACCGAGAAACCAAATGTACCAAAAATTCAAATGTACCATAAAACCAAATGTACCAAAATTTCAAATGTACCATAAAACAAAATGTGCCCATTGTCAGGTAATCTTGTTGGTACGTTTAGATTCCTATTGTACCAAAAGACCAAATGAACAAAAAATCTCAAATGTACCACAAAACCAAATGTCTCTATCAGATAACTCTTTTGGTACATTTACATTCCAAATGTACCAAGAAATACAAAAAATCAAATCCACTATAAAACTAAATGTGTCCATATTATAGGTAACTAGACGTAGCTATATAGTCAAACAAATCTTTACTATGTGTTGGGTCTTCTAAATAATAAAATTTGACAATTTTTTTTATAAATATTCTACTATATTAAAAAAAAGAAGTAAATATTATAACAAACAATAAAAAAATGCATAGAGATGGATAAGGAATGCATAAATATAGGGATAATAGGAAAAGAAAAAAAAAAGAAAACGAAGTGCCCAGGAGATGGATAATAAATGCATAAATATAGGGATAATAGGGATAATAGGAACTGAAATTAATAACCAAAATTTTAGGAAATGTTTGATCAAATTTTCAAAAGGAGTGTATGTTTAGTCTAAAAAATTAAAAAACGAGGCGGCTATATCAAAATGCCCCAAAAAAAAATGATTAGGCGGTTTGTTGTGTTGTGGATTGCAATTTGCAAAACTTATGCTTAATTTGGTGCATGTGGTTCTCTACAAATATCAAATTTATTTGGAAATTATTTGACCCTCCCCTTTGTTTAAAAATCGGAATTTTGTGAGTGCAACAACTTTAGATTTTGTTGGTTTAATGAACTATTTGTGTTGTGCTATTATTTCCTTTATCAAGGATCTTGAGTCTCTACATTCAGCTTTTGTGAATTTACGCATTTCACTAATCTCCACCATTATAATAATTCACCAATTTAGAACATGACACATCATCTTTAATTAATTTTAATTACATTTAAGTCTTTCTTTTTATAAAAAGAAAATAAATCTTCCAACGTCTGTTAACTCTCTTTGGCGTCCATCATGTGTCCTCTTTGATTTTCCCAGTCACATCTTTCCACTCTCTTGCATTAACAGAATGGGAAAAGAAAGAAAGGCGCATTAACTGATGGACGACAAAGAGAGTTAACAGACGTTGGAGGAAATTTTATTTTCTTTTTATAAAATCTAAAACTTAATTGTATTTATAACTAAAATTAATGGGTAAAAGACTGTTTATTACCCTCATGTTTCGTGGTTTTCAACATTTAGTATATCAAGTTTTTTTCGTCTCAGAGTCATACCTAAAGTGTAAATTTTGGGACAGTCTCATACATCCGTTAGTCAAACTGTTAAGGTTTCCGTTAACTGTGACGTGGCGCACTGACTGGGCGCCACGTGTCATCCACGTTTTTTTTTTCTTTCTTTTTTTTTCTTCTTCCTTCTTCTTCTTCTTCCTCCGACTGCAACTTTCAATTTTTTTTTTCTTCCTCCTTCTCCTTCTTCCTTCCTTCCTCATTCCTTCCCTTTCTTCCCCTTCTTCCTTCTTTTTCCTTCTCATTCTCCTTCTTCTTCCCCGAATCTGGGGAAGCTTTTTTTTTTTTTTTTTTCTCTCTTCTTCTTCTTCTTCTTTCTCCGAATCTGCCCAAATTCAGTTTTTTTTTCTTCCACCTTCTTCTTCCTCCCAATCTGCCCAGATTCAGTTTTTTTTCTTCCACCAGAAAACTCAAGAACCAGAGCTGTCCACCGCCACTCTCCGGAAATCTCAGAGACTTGTCTGCCTGGAAAAGAGCGCTGCGGAGTCTGAAAACCCGAGAACCCCCAAATCCACAGCCAGAAGCAACCGTGTCGTACGTTCATTGAGTCTCCCACTTAGCTCTAAGAATTCGAGTGAATCTCACGATGGGCCGAGAAGATCTTCGAGATTGAACAATGGGGTTGAGGCATTTCAGAGGCTTAGACGTTCTTCAAGGATTTTGAACAAGCAGCTCGTCCTTGTTGATGAAGGTAAGGGTCCCTCAAAAAAAATATCGAAGAAATTGGGCAAATTGGAAAATGGGTCGAGTAATTGCGGAAATTTGAGTTCTGGGTCAGCAAAATGTCGAAGAAAATCTGTCAGGTTCTGTATTGAGCAATCTGTTGTGAATCAATGCACTGATAAGGCAACTGGGTCTAGATCTAAGAGTGGAAAAAATAGGTCATTGAAGAAAGAGGAGTTCTCAAGTGTTGGAAAAGATGGAGCTATCTGAAAGAGTTTCGAAAGAGTGCAAAATGCAAGAGATAGATGGTGTGAATAAAGAAGTGTTTTTTTTTTTTTTTTTTTTTTTTTTTTTTTGAGGAAGAAGAAGAAGAAGAAGAAGAAGGGGAAGGAAGAAGGAGAATGAGGAAGAAAAAATTGCAGTCGGAGGAAGAAGAAGAAGAAGAAGAAGAAGGAAGAAGAAGGAAGAAGAAGAAAGAAAGAAAAAAAAAAAAAACAAACTTCCCCAGATTTCGGAGGAAGAAGAAGAAGAAGAAGAAGGAGAAGGAAGAAGAAGAAGAAGAAAGAAGGGGAAGGAAGAAGGAGGAAGAAGAAGAAAGAAAAAAAAAAACAAACTTCCCCAGATTTCGGAGGAAGAAGAAGGAGAAAGAGAAGGAAGAAGAAGGAAGAAGGGGAAGAAAGGGAAAGGAATGAGGAAGGAAGGAAGAAGGAGAAGGAAGAAGCAAAAAAAAAAAGAAAAAAAGTTGCAGTCGGAGGAAGAAGAAGAAGAAGAAGAAGAAGGAAGAAGGAAGAAGAAAAGAAAAGAAAGAAAAAAGAAAAAAAAACGTGGATGACACGTGGCGCCCAGTCAGTGCGCCACGTCACAGTTAACGAAAAACTTAACAGTTTGACTAACGGATGTATGAGACTGTCCCAAAATTTACACTTTAGGTATGACTCTGAGACGAAAAAAACTTGATGTACTAAATGTTAAAAACCACGAAACATTATGGTAGTAAACAGTCTTTTACCCAAAATTAATTAAAGGTGATATGTCATGTCATAAATCGTTGGATTATTATGGTGTGGAGATTTAACGAAATGGGCGAAGACTAAGGATGATGTATTCAGTTGAGAAAAAAAAAAAGTATATTAGAAAAACTGAAATCAAACTCGACAACTATAAATTTTATAAAATACACTTTCAATAGTTCATTTGAAGGAACAAACTTCTCAAATTATTCGGTTGTCGTACTTTAAGTGATTCATAGTTACGAAATATTTAGGTTCCATTACATAAACATTACATAACTAATCTCAAATGGTACTATAACAATATGCCAATATCGCAAATCAATCACCTATTTAAAACTCATATAATAATATGTAATATTCTGATAAAAAACAAAGGGTAAAAGACTGTTTACCACCCTCATGTTTCGTGGTTTTCAACATTTAGTACATCAAGTTTTTTTCGTCCCAGAGTCATACCTAAAGTGTAAATTTTGGGACAGTCTCATACATCTGTTAGTCAACTGTTAGTTCTCCCCTCCCGTTAAGTGATAACGTGGCGCCCTGATTGGACGCCACGTGTCATTAAAAAATAAAAAATTTATTTAAATAAAAATAATATTAAATAATATTTAAATAATAAAATAATAATAAAAAAATTTTTTTTTTCCTTCTTCTCTTCTTCTTCTTCTTTTTTTTTTTTTTTTTTTTTTTTCTTCTTCTTCTTCTTCTTTTGGGTTCGGTTCTCTCTTTTTTTTTTTTTTTTTTTTTCTTCTTCCTCCTCCTTCTCCTTCTTCTTCCTTCTCCTTCCTCCTCATTCTTCTTCTCCTTCTTCTTCCTTCTTAAGAAGGAAGGAGGAGAAGGAAAAAAACAGAAAAAAAAAAGAAAAAAAAAACCAAACGCAGAAAAGAAGAGGAAGAAGAAGGAAGAAGAAGGAGAAGAAGAATGAGGAGGAAGGAGAAGGAGAAGAAGAGGAGAGAAGAAGGAAGAAAAAAAAAAAAAAAGAAACCGAACCCAGAAGAAGAAGAAGGAGAAGAAGAAGGAAGAAGAAGAAGAAAAAAAAAAAAAAAAGAGAGAAACCGAACCCAGAAGAAGAAGAAGAAGGAGAAGAAGAAGGAGGATGAAGGAGAAGGAAGAAGAAGGAGGAGGAAGAAGAAGGAAAAAAATAAAAATAAAAAAAAAACCGAACCAAGAAGAAGAAGAAGAAAAAAATATTTTATTATTATTTTAATATTTTAATATTTTAATATTTTAATATTTATTTAAATATTTTGTAATATTATTTTTATTTAAATAAATTTTTTATTTTTTTAATGACACGTGGCGTCCAATCAGAGCGCCACATCATCACTTAACGGGAGAACTAACAGTTTGACTAACAGATGTATGAGCAGTGGCGGATCTACAGAGGGACCTGGGAGGTCCCAGGACCCCTCGGCGATCCTAAATTGCTGCTAGAAATTTTCCGGAGGACCCCTCGTACTCGACACGAGGTCTGTGCTACGGGTTGGCGCAAATCAATCACCTAATTTAAAAACTCATATAAAAATAATATGTAATATTCTGATAAAAAACAAAGGGTAAAAGACTGTTTACCACCCTCATGTTTCGTGGTTTTCAACATTTAGTACATCAAGTTTTTTTCGTCCCAGAGTCATACCTAAAGTGTAAATTTTGGGACAGTCTCATACATCTGTTAGTCAAACTGTTAGTTCTCCCGTTAAGTGATAACGTGGCGCCCTGATTGGACGCCACGTGTCATTAAAAAATAAAAAATTTATTTAAATAAAAATAATATAAAAAATATTTAAATAATAAATAATAATAAAAAAAATTTTTTTTTTTTCCTTCTTCTCTTCTTCTTCTTCTTTTTTTTTTTTTTCTCTTCTTCTTCTTCTTTTGGTTCGGTTCTCTCTTTTTTTTTTTTTTTTTTTTCTTCTTCCTCCTCCTTCTCCTTCTTCTTCCTTCTCCTTCCTCCTCATTCTTCTTCTCCTTCTTCTTCCTTCTTAAGAAGGAAGGAGGAGAAGGAAAAAAACAGAAAAAAAAGAAAAAAAAAACCGAAAAGAAAAAAAAAGAAAAGAAAAAGAAGAAGAAGAAGAAGAAGAAGAAGGAAGAAGAAGAAGAAGGAGAAGAAGGAGAAGAGAGAAGAAGAAGGAGGAGGAAGAAGGAAAAAAAAAAAAAAGAAACCGAACCCAGAAGAAGAAGAAGGAGAAGAAGAAGGAAGAAGAAGAAGAAAAAAAAAAAAAAAAAAAAGAAGAGAGAACCGAACCCAGAAGAAGAAGAAGAAGGAGAAGAAGAAGGAGGATGAAGGAGAAGGAAGAAGAAGGAGGAGGAAGAAGAAGGAAAAAAATAAAAATAAAAAAAAAACCGAACCAAGAAGAAGAAGAAGAAACAAATATTTTATTATTATTTTAATATTTTAATATTTTAATATTTATTTAAATATTTTGTAATATTATTTTTATTTAAATAAATTTTTTATTTTTTTAATGACACGTGGCGTCCAATCAGAGCGCCACATCATCACTTAACGGGAGAACTAACAGTTTGACTAACAGATGTATGAGCAGTGGCGGATCTACAGAGGGACCTGGGAGGTCCCAGGACCCCTCGGCGATCCTAAATTGCTGCTAGAAATTTTCCGGAGGACCCCTCGTACTCGACACGAGGTCTGTGCTACGGGTTGGAGTTGCAGGTTCTAATGGAGAAGAAGACAGCTGGGGAACAGGGCCTTTTAACAATTGGTCCACAACGGCATAGTTTTGGCCAATTGTTTTAATTTAATAAAAAAAATCAATGAGACAAACTCTGCTGTTTGTCCATGATGTTCCATATTCTTTTAAAGCCCCACATGGGCCGCATCCTTCCCGAGAGTCCCTCCCGTCTCCTTTCCCCACTCCTCTGCTTTTCCCCCTAATCCCCATCTTTCTTATATTCACCCAAAACCCAATTTCTAATCCCACCCAATTCCTAATCCCACCCAATTTCATATTATAATTACATTACTCCAATATCATACCTCCACTTGTTTCAATTCTCCAAGCCACCACTATTTAGTTCAAATTTCAAGTATGTTTTTTGGTATTCTAATCTAATCTCAATTAAATTATATTAGATATTGGTGGAGATTTTTAGTCTATTATTGATATGGTTGTTGATATGTTTTATGTTTGTATACTCATTTTATCATTGCAATTTAGATGGAATTTTTGTTTATTGGTTGATTGGTATATATTTTGTGTTTTTGGTTAAATGTGTAGTTTAGAAATGAGAAATATGGAAAGATTTTTCAAGCCAAAGCCAATAGCACCATCTAATTTTTTAATGAAGTGTATTATATTTAACTTTTCAATGTTATTTTTATCTATAAATTTTTTTACCTTTATTATTGGGACCCTCCGAATTTAAAATCCTGGATCCGCCACTGTGTATGAGACTGTCCCAAAATTTACACTTTAGGTATGATTCTGGGACGAAAAAAACTTAATGTACTAAATGTTGAAAACCACGAAACATGATGGTGGTAAACAGTCTTTTACCCAAAAACAAAAGAATATGTAATCGAATTGAAACATCGAGACAGTAACATGTGAAATCTGTCTAGGCCGTGGGATGTTGGAAGGTTTGAGCTGGCAAAGTCCAAGGCCGTCCAATTCGCGGTTGCACGTTTCAAAGTTCAAACGTCGCTCCGATGACGCAACTCTCTCAAATGATACCCGCATCACTTAGCACCCAGCCCATTGGTTACTTAATTAAAAAGAAAAACCAAACGTCGGAGAAATCAAGGTTTACCAATATAAACAGCAACAATAACATTGATTGTACGCAACCTCGTCGCTCTAGATCTCGAGCTGTATTGTCGGCATCGCCGTCCACGGCGTCGTATTGTGAGATTATCAGGCAATGGATGCGGATAAGCGGAAGCGCGACGACGGAGGAGAATTAGAGGGGAAGAGAGCGAGAGGAGTCGAGGAAGATCGTAAAAGAGGTCAGGAGACGGTAACGGAGGAGGAGGTGGAGGAGTTCTTTGCGATACTCAGGCGGATACAGGTGGCAGCCAAGCACTTCCGCAGGACAGCGTCGATGGAATGGAGGCGCTCTTTCGAAGTTGAAGATTTTGAGGAAGATAACGAGTCTCTTATGATGAAAGACCAAAAACAGGAAGAGAAAAAAAGGGAGGCGGGGGCGGATACGGGTTTGGATCTTAACACACATCCCGTATGATCCAAACGAAGCTGAAACTGAAAGAATTGTCTCATTTTATATCTTGTTGTAATTTGTAATGTTTATTACAGCAACATTTTATATATCTAAAATCAAAGAAATATTGGAACTAATAATACTTTGTTGTTGTAGATATGTTCTTTGTACGTTGAGTTAAGAGTTAACAAAGATTTACTTTTAAATCTGACGTGATAGACATTGTATAAATGATCATATGTTTACGTTTTAATCTCAGTTTTGGTATTGTATAAAGCTTGTAGCTTAATTGGTTGAAATCATTATCAACATGACAAGTTGAAACCGCAAACCTAATTTCTTACTGGAAAGATGAGTGATATTGCACTCGAGGTCTCGATTTTGAATTTCACCATTTTGAATTTCACCTCTTGCATTACTTGTGGATTAGTAAAAATCCTCAACTTAAATCTAAAGTTGAGTTAGCATGCAATCCAGAGATTCTTGTAACTTTATTACCATATTACGCAATCAATAGAATAATTTTGTTTCATTTTCCAGTGGAATTTATGCAAAGCATGTTTTGACAGGTGAACTACTTGCAAATTAAATAAATAAATAAAACAAAAAACTAATGGCTATGATTATTAAATTAGGAAAACTAATGAAAATGGTTTGAAAACTTTTAGTTTTAATGATAAGGACAAAATAAAGGGTAAAATGAATAGTACCAAGATTGACTTTTTAGTGTAAAAATATGGTTTTTCGTTAAACTGAACAGTACCAGAAGCTTTTTGTATGACAGATTTGTTGGATTTATACGAACCCAATAAATCTACCTGGCCCAACCAAAGAAAATCAAACCGATAATAACTTTTTCAACGTTCGATTTTATGGATGAAGACTGTAGATGCTCCATGTATTGTAGATATTTGAAGTCGACATTTAATTTGTGTATGAACAAGATTTTGTATGCCAAAAGCACTTTACACGTATCTTGCTGTGCTATATTTGAACACGTTTTTACATTCAGAAAAATAGAATAAAATCATATTAAGATATCAACATCGTCAAACACCTTAACCTAGAAAGCTGTCGATGCATTTCTAAAACATTTTCATAAAGCAATGCAATGACGAATAGCAAAGCAAAATAGTGGCTCCATCACAATCAAAATTGTTCAGAAGCATATTGAAAATATACCTTTTAAAACAAACCAAAAAAACATAAGAGTGAAATATATTATTCAGTATATTAGTACAGTGGTGTTAGCATCCCATTTTTCAACAGTACCATGTTTATTTTTTCAAGTGGATATTATATTTGAATAATTGATAGACATGATAGAAAAGTGAGACGTAAGCGATCAAATTAATTAGAAATTTCTATGGAAGAACATATCATTATGATGTCGGTATTGGACATTGTAGTATCATTTTGTCTTTAGACTGTGCTACTGTTGTTTTCTTATTTAGGGACGTGACCATTTTGTCTCTTAACATGACACATTTGTAGTTTTATTTTTGATTTGCTATCAGACCAAGTTTGATCCTTTATGATTTTAATTTGCTTCTGTTACTATTAGTTTGCGCCACCTGAACCACATCGCATCGGAGCCGAGCAACACCTTAAACATTTCATTGCCAAGTCGGCATCCCAAAACTGTATGAACCATTGCCTATAATCTTGCCACTGAGCATAAACTCATACCTCGAACACCTTGAACTTCATGAATGGCCGTAATGAACATCGGTCTCCTCCAACATCTTATGAATGATCCAAAATTCTCTAACAAAATCAGGGTTATTTTGAAATAAAAGCCAAAAATAAAACAACATAACAAAAAAAAAAAAACAGGATTGAAGATGGATTGGTGGCCTTTTTTTTTCATGGCCTTTTTAAATGACAATGCTTTTGGTCGGTTTCTCTTATACAAGAAAGAAAACTATCTCGTAAATTTAGTTTTAATTAATACAATATAAATCGTGGTTCATAAAATAAACCTTTCCTGTGTTATGCATCCAATTAGAGTGATTTTCTGTCTTGTAAATTTGTAAGTGAATCGCATTTGCAAACAAGAAGGCACAAATTGCGTGACCTAACAGCAGTTTATAAATAGAAATAATAATTAATTTTTTGTATGGGCTAAATATTAACCCAATAGGTATTTTCGTTTGTTTCGCATTGTTCCAGCTGGCCCACAATGGGCACTACCATTAGTAGCCCATGGAAGGAGGTCGTCTAATATTTTCAAGATTTTTTTTTTTCAGTGTGTCGGTTCGGCATACCAATATAATAATACAATTTGTTGAAATTTAAAGAATTTTTATAACTTATTGTATTATGACAATTGATGTACTATGTACTGAATCATGTTCTCGAACTATAATAGTTCAATCCAACACAAACAAACACTAATTTCCGAACACCGGCCGTATAAAATTAGAAACCGGCTCACCAGTGGCACTGGCCGACTTCCTACTTACATATCTTCATTCAATCAAACACCAACCCGCATTGCAACACACCGCACACTGACCAAATCCTTTTACTTACTAAATTAATAAATTAAAAACACTTTTAGATTACAAAAAACGTTTTTGATAATATTCAGTAAATTTTTATTTTTTTTTAAATACTTCTGGATTAAAAACGTTTTTGATTTACTAAGGTTCACTTACATTTTAATCAAAATTATTGATGTGCTTCTAATAAAAGTGTTGTACTTCTAAGCACAAGTTTGTTTTAGTAAAGTATTACTAAAACGACTCTAAGGACTTGTTTGGTATTCTACTTGAATCTAACTTTTTAAACTCAAAAATAATTTTCAAGTTTTATGCCTTAAAAACTTATTTGTTAAGACTATTTTAAAAAACGGAACAAGACTAACTAAAAAATATAGTCTATTTTCTAAAAACATAAAAAGTGACTATTTAGAGTTTTTAAATTTAAACTCACTCCTTTATTTTCTCTCTCTTCTCCCCACTCACTCCAAATATATCTCTCTTTTCTTCTTTTTGTCTCCTCTTTTTTTTTTTCTTTTTTTTTACCTTTTTCATCTCTTCTCCAATCCGTTCTCTTCATTCTTTCGGTTTTTTCATCACTCTTCGTCTTCTCTATCTCATCCGATCCTCTCTCTTATTTTTCTTTCCTTCAATCATCTCTTACTTTATTTTCTCATCTCTCCTCTTTCTCCCTCTCCTACGAGCCTCTCTTTTTAGATCTCTTTGTCTAGTTTAAGTCGTAAGATTTAAAAATTTTAAATCGCAAACCAATTAAATTTTTGAGTCTTAAAGAAAATTGTTTTCAATAAATATTCTTAAGAAATGTTTTGAGAAATGATAAAAAATTTCAAATAGGATACCAAACAGGCCCTAAACATTTTCCAACGAACAAATACAATTAGGAATCACTTATATAATTAGACAAAAATAAAGGATGCCGTTCTCATTCCCCACGTCAAGTAGTCCAAACCTAAGAAATATTCTCGACTCACAGAGTTTATTTCTAGGCAGAAAGATTAGGGCACCAGTCAACTACAACAAAATCTTCTTTGGACGCTACCACAAAAACAAGCTTTAACAATTCGATTGTCCACAAAATCTCCACATCTAACGTAAAAGTTGGATCAGGCATCCATTGTTCTCTCCGAGGTTTGGTTTGCTCTCTTAGACCTATAATTCTTTTAAAATATTGATCCGTCCATTTGCCAGTTTGACACAGTTGCATAGTAGGTATGCCTTTTCTTTCAACTAAAAAGAAATTATAAATTATTAGGAGTATGAAAATTACGATATCATATGCGTTATAAACTCATGTGTAACGTTATAATATGAGTAGACGATAATTAAAATTATCATGTAATATTAGTAAACAAACATGTATGTTATACATGAATAACATGATATCACGTCGCAGTTCGACAGTCACGTTGAATAAATTATTCATTGATGCACGTTCTATACAAAACTAAAGGAACAATATTTTAGATTATCGTAAAGCATCATGGACAAAATTAAACCTTGTATTTGATCTTGTCATGCCATGTAATGTAAGCTAAGCAAGCACCTACTTGAAGGACCACGACGACTCCTTCGATTGGAAATATTACTAAAACGATGTACTATATATTTAAGATACATCTTTTAAATTAAACAACCAAATTAATATAACCTAAACAATATCCCAATATTAAGGGTATATGTAACATCCCACATCGACCAACATGGAGGGTGTGATGTGCCTTATATACATACCCACCTCCAATTAGCACGAGGCATTTTGGGAACTCACTGGCTTCGGATTCCATCGGAACTTCGAAGTTAAGCAAATTCGGGCAAGAGCAATCCTAGGATGGATGACCCACTGGAAAGTTCTCTTCTGAGTTTCCAGAAACAAAATCGTGAGGGAATGGTAAGCCCAAAACAGACAATATCGTGCTACGGCGGAATCGAGACTGGGATGTGACAGTATAGCTGGCCAAACCCTAAAACCCTAAAACAAAAACTCGATTAGGAAGTAATCTAATTAATTAAGTACAGCTAGATTTGCGGATTTAGGTACCTAACAAAGACTATGCTTTAAGCAGAACAAGTCTAAACTTTTTGTGTCCGTCCATCTGCATGTCGTGGGTGGGGACTTTATGCCCAAAGCATGTTTATCTTACACGAGCTAAGTTTTCTCTTTGCTTTCTGGAGAGTGGTTGCTGTTTGCATTATATTACTGATTAAATGGATTTGGCGATCTGCTTTTTTAGGTTTCCCATTTATTTTCTTAGTGAGAGGCTGAGAGCTTGATGCAGACATCAACCAGTATTTCTACCCGTGAATAGGTTGGGTTGGGGGTGGCGTGGGGGGTCCTGTTGGGGGTCCTGTGGGGGGGGGGGGTATGGGTATGGGATTACTACTAATTTATCCCTGAATTGAGCACGGAGAAGAAGAGTGAATATTATTTTGAAAAACGAGTAAGTTGAGTTTGAATTGTTAATAATAAAATATTCGAAGTTTGTTAAAATAGAGAGTTTTGTTTGAAAAGAGAAGGTTAAA